AATCAGTGTTTACATAGGGCTTTGCTATAATGTGTTCTGTAGATTTAGCACTGTTAGGACTAAAGACTGGAAAAAAATGCACTAAGAAGTTATTTAAGAATCCACATTAGGCAAAATACTTCAGATCATGTTTAAAATGGAATTCCAGAGTAATAATCCCATTGATTTTAAACCTAACTTTATTAATTTCTTAGGAAAAATGAGCAATTGGTATGCATGCCAGTTTTCAATATATATATATATTTTTAAGGCATAAGCAATGCACTTTTTCTTTACTCATTCGTAAATCATACTGAATATTTATGGGTTATTTCACGTAAATAATTTGTAGAAGGATATTGGGAGACTTTAAACGTTTGGAGGCAGATGCCTCTTCTAAATCCCTGAAGAAAAAATGAGAATAAAAGCATTTTTAATTGCTTAGAGCAGATGGTAGGGTAATAAAAGTGCTGAATAGCTATAAAACAAACATCAGGAAATGACATCCATCAGAAAAGAGCCAGTAGAAGTGAGATATGCAAACACAGATGTTAGAGAGAAGTGATTTTAGAGTAAAGACTCAAACTTTGTATCCCATGCATGATGCTCTGTTGCCCTCCCAGCCTTTTGGTCCTTCTGATTCCAGTTTGCAACTGAGCAATGATGAACAAAACATACCAGGAATTGCTTTCTTATGAGAAGGAGCAGCCATATTCAGTAATTATCAGTAATTCCGTGGCCTATTTTGAAAGGAAAATGGTTTCAGGATCTCTCATGATGTGGTATATTTTTATATCTTAATAGAATTCTTAGCTCTAGTATCAGCTGTTCCCAAAATCATTGTGTCCCTGTAGGACTGGTGTCTCTTGATGTATCTTTGGCTTGTGCACAAGGCACACAGAAAATCTTATTGTTTTGTTTTGTTGCCGTACTGAAAACTCTGGGAAAGAAGAACCTCCAGAGGGAACTAATATTATGATTTAGAGAATAAATCTATATTTGTTAAACTTAGAATTTAAAACTCTGGGTGGAAAAAAAAAAAAAAAAAAAGCAACTTAAAAATTGAGTTTTATCAATGCTGATATGAAGCTGTGGTATGAAGCTGTGTTTAATGGTATGGAGCTGCATCAAGGGAGGGTCAAGCTGGGTGTTATGAAAAAAGTTCCTTCACCTGAGTGTGGTGGGCAGGGAACAGGCTCCCAGGGCAGTGGTCATGCCCCCAAGCTGCCTAAGTTCAAGTTCAAGGAGCATTTGGACAGTGCTCTCAGTCATAGTGTTTGATTTGTTGGTGGTCCTGTATGGAGCCAGGAGTTGGGCTTGATGATCCCTGTAGGTTCCTTCTAACTCGGGATATTCTGTAATTCTAAAATATGATTTTTAAAAATGGTTATTTTGTTATGTCACAAACCATAATGCTAATACTGTCTTGAATACACAAATCGTGATTCAAGCCTCTTGAAAAGCATTTTATTTACTTTATCTCCTTACGTTTTGAATTATGCTTCAATATGCTCTGATTTTTATCACTGTCAGACTCTACAAACTAGTAAACAGAGAATCTCAGTTAAATTACTTGAATACTCAAACAGATTTATGGTTATGTCTTCAAAAAAGACTAGCCCTGCTCTAAACCCACAAAAATTAAAATTAACTGTAAAGGAGAAGTCTACAATCAGAGGAGAAATAAAAAGTTCATTTTTATTAAACAGAATCATAGAATATATCAAGTTGGAAGTGACCTATAAGGATCACAAGGTCCAATTCCTGGTTTCACATAGGACCACACGATAATCAGACCATACGGCTGCAAGCACTGTCCATACGCTGCTTGAACTTGCAAGGCCAGTGCCATGACCACTTCTCTGGGAAGGCAGTTGCAGTGCTCAACCACATCCTCTTGGTGAAGAACCTTTTGCAGATATCCAACCTGAACTTCCCATGTCACAGCTTCATGCCGTTCCCTTGGGTTCTACCACTGATCATCAGACAGAGGAGATTATTACCCAAGTTTAACCAAACTCAAAGAGTAAACAAGGAAATAAAGTAGGAAAAATAGGTTAGATAGTTTCAGATTTTCATTTTTATATCAGGTAGCCAAGATAAGGGATATCTATATCTGAAAGTTTGGTTGCTTAATCTTCATTGGTTTGGTTCAGTGAGAGTACAATTGGCCATAGCACGTGGGTGAACATGTGGCAGTTTCTAAGGAAGTAGAGCTTGGCTTTCTGCTTTCTTGCAGAAGTACAGAAAATTTCTAAGCTCATTTCCTCCCTGGAAATGGAAAATCTTGTTTCCTTTTGTGGTTTCTTTAGAATTCAGGATGTGCAGAAGAAGGCCTGAGGTCTGCTCAGAGCAGGAGGGTTCACATCAACAGGCTGCAGGGTGCACACTGACACCTGCTGCCTCAGCTCCACTCGTGCTCCATTTTCTTTGGGATTCCTCACCGCATAAAATTTTAGACCTGTGAATTATGTCTGTGCTTTGAAACCACTTCCTGGTTATCTGATGTTTCACGCTACCTGGCAGCACTGCAGTGACAGGCACTTTATCCTGAATGAAAAATAGATGAGGTAGCTGAAAATACAATTTCTGTGGTTGTTTTTCTGAACCAGCAATATTTTGTTTCTGTTCATGACCCAACTTGTTTGGCTGATCTTTACAGAAAGCAGATATAACATTTCATAGTGCTTTTGTCTATCATGCATCACTTTTTACATTCCTAGTTACAGACTCCAAAATGGGAAAACAGCTTCCAAATAAGGCTGACGAGGCTATAAGATATGCAGGGCCCTTCCCAGGACATGTATCCCCTTCCCCTGCAGTATCACCTTTCTTCTGCCCTGCAGGCACCAGTTCCTCTCAGATAAATGAGACTTCTCAGTCTCTTCACCACAGCTTTTCCTCCACATGCATTTATTTAGGTCTGCACATGTGAAAACACAATTCAGTTGTTTACAAAGGGAGTGTATGTTGCAGAGAGCTGCTGTACACACGTACAGGATTTCAGCTTCAGCTGTACTACAGAACTGCAAACTCTGCTATTAGGTCCAATATGTTACTGGGGAGACAGACAGACTTCTATGGAAATAGTCTGAAGTTCACACATCCCAGACTGAGAGCCAGCACTACCAATAGCCAGACAAATGGTAGAAGAAAACAAATGAAATGGAAACTAAGGAGAAAATAATTTACGATTAAAATATCTGCAGCATGTTTGTGAACAATAACAAGGGACTTTCCAGAAATTTAAAGCAGGAAGATCTTTTTTCCTTGAGAAACCACTAAATAAGGGTAGGAAAAAATTAGGGGATTCTTGTGCCCAAAATGCATTAGGTCACCGGAATTTATTTAATTGGAGTTTATAGAAAATGTAATCTTCCTAAAAAGTGAGAAAGTTCTTAACTGTTGACTATATACAAATGAACTTTCTATTGTCCAAAGTTAACCTCACATAATTTTTATCATATAGCTTATTTTCAAATAAACGCCTGAAGAGTAGTTTCACATTAATAAGGAAAATGCCATTTGGGATCACAGGATATTGTCAGCCGGAAAAGAGCTGGGGCATCCCTGTCCAACTCTTGCTCACAGCAGGGCCAGCTCTGAGGTCAGAGTGGGTTGCTCAGGGCTTTGTCCTCATCCACTTCTCGCAGCCATGAGTTTTTTTTTCCCCCTTCAGAATAAAGGGAAAAGTTCAAGCAGAAGCTGTATTGATTCAGAACAAAGCGACACTTTAGATGAGGATCTTGTCTTCAGTGGTGCTTAACCCTATGCATCTTTCCCTGATGTAATGAATGCGAGGAGGGCAGCTTGTCCCTCTCCAGCCTGTTCCTACTGACAATAATTCTGTAACACTGAGGAGCTGCAAATCCAGAAATTCTTACTTTCTTGGATTCCTCTATTTGTCCTTTTGTTTAATTTAAAACATACATACAATAATGAAAATGTAGGACAACACTATCTATTGTCTGAGCTTTTAGACTTATGACAAGAAAGAACGCAGTCAAATGTGACCAGATTGATAGCAGCCAAATAATTACATGACAGAAAAAAACACAGATCTGGCAAAACACATATTTTGGTATGGCCTTCTTGGCAAGAAGTCTACAGGAAAGTCTGCACGTTATCCTGCATCAAATAATGCATTCTTTGTTCAAAAGATAAAATTCTAGGAATTAATAAACATTCACACTACAGAAATTTTGATTGTGTACTAACTTTGCCATAAAACCCAGGGCTCACTTCTAGCTGCAGCTGAGGCCTGAGATTGCACCAAGCAAGTAATGGGAGAGAATCAATCCTGAAGAGAGAGAATTGATGGCCTGCTTCTGAATGGGATTGATTTGGTACTTCTGGGGACACAAAAAGGATTATCCTTTATCCCTTTGTATGTTACTATCAGAAAATGAATAGACCCTTTCCTTTGCTACAGGAGCTACTTTCCTGGTGAAGTCTGTCACATTTCTCAGCTTACTTACCAGGAGTGAGTTTAGATGAGGAGAATTTGGGATCTTACCAGCTGAACAGGTCATGATTAATTATTTTGGGACATTTCAGTGCTGCTTTGTTTTGCACCCTTTGCCAAAACAGATGTAGTGATGAGCCACTCATCTCCAGGAGCTGCTTATTTTTACAGTCAGTTTTATTTGTTCTGTAGTGCTCTGACACACATAAATGTCCAGTAAAAGGCATTTAGCAGCTTGCTGCTTGTATGTCTCTACAGGTTTTGTGTCTGTTCCTCTTGTCATTCCCTAATGCAGGAGTTACCGACGTGCCAAGCACGGCTACTTCAGTACCTTGCTGCTAAAATGGAAAGCTGTGAAGCATTCAGGAGTTCATCTGGATCTCCTGATTTAAGAAATGCAACTGTGTGCCGTAAGTCAAAACAGTTAGAAGAGAACTTGCCTTAAAGAGATCAAAACCACACAGCATTGAATAGGCATGTTAAATAAAGTTATAGACATAAATCAGTTGTTATGTACAAATCAGAAAGGAAAAATAAATAAAAATCTACTCAAATATAATTTCTGAAGTAGTTTTTAATTTAGGATTATATACACTTGAACCTGAAAATCTGTTGTGAACAGACACCTTTAAGCAGGTATGGCAATGAGGATATGTACCTGCACTGTCTGTCAAGTGCATCTTAAAAGTGCTTGGTTTACAAGGTCAAAAAGATCTTACGTTGTCAGCACTGCCTGCCAGATAATGGCTAAATTAAGTTGAATTTTTGGTCCATTTTCTTTTTCCCTCTTTTGTTTCTTCAGTAATTGAAGTCTCACAGGACAGTTTTCATGTTCCCACATCACTGACTATGTCCTTCATTAAGCTGTTTTCACTATACTGAAAACTGTGAAGCGTCTTGAGAGATTTTTGATTGGCTTCCTGATTGCAAAATAACATCAATTCTTGTTCCAAGCACATCTGCAGGAAAGAAAATTATTTGAGTTTGGCTCTTAGCTTACAGGTCTTGCCTACACTAGGGAATTTTTACACAAAAATCCCCAGTTACTGGAAACAAAGCTCGGAAGACATGCATTTAACATGCAGCTGAAAAGAAATGCAAGGAGCCCCAAAGGTTTGTATGATAATATATCTCAAATTAACATTTCAGGGTTTGATCTCATCAGAGGGAATGAAGAGGATCTAATTACAGAAGGATCATTTTATATCAGCATTGTGACGCTAACAACTCCAAAAGACAGAAATCATTTATTTTAATTTCTAAAATATGCAGAAGTGATGTCACATACAGCCTGCATGCAGATTTATTGACACAGAATAAACCGTTTCTGTTGTCATGCGTAAGAGAAGAATTGCTCTTTAAATATAATTAAGATTCTCAGAGAGATTAGTTTCAATATTTAATGATTTTTAGGTCTTCCTGAAGTCATGTAGATTATTTCTCAGATTCTGCACCCTTTCCAGCTTTGGAAAATAGTTTTGCTGTGAGCATTACGTGTTCCCAAGAACAACAAATCTGAACTTCAAAATTATCTTAAAAAAAAATACTACAATGCACTGTATGTTTTATGAGGAAAGGCTGGGTGACCTGGGTCTTTTCAGTCTTGAGAAAAGAAGACTCAGAGGGGATCTGATGAATGGTTATAAATATCTTGTGTGGGAGTCAAAGGGACATGGCCAACCTTTTTTCAGCGGTCTGTGGAGACATGACAAGGGGGAATGGCCATAAACCGGAGCATAGGAAGTTTTGCATCAATACGTGAAGGAACTTCTTCACAGTGAGCAAGACAGAGCACTGGAACAGGCTGCCCAGGGAGGTTGTGGATTGCTCTGGAGAAATTCAGACCTGCCTGGATGCCTACCTGTGCAGCCTGCCGTAGGGAGCCGGCTTGGCAGGGGGGATTGGACTCGATGATCTCTGGAGGTCCCTTCCAACCCCTACAATTCTGTGATTCTATGATTCTGCATCTGGCAACCATATGTCCCTCCTTCCACAACCCCTTACCAGGTTTGCAGAAAACCGCTTTTCAAAATACGTAATGAAATCAACAGAAGCTCCTTAAATATCTGTTAAGTTTGTCTTTCTGCACATGCCAAGTATTCTGTGTATGCAGTCACATTAAATAGTAAGTGCATAATGTGTGGGGAGACAGATGGAGACTGGGGGAGAGGCAGATTGCTGAAGGAGCAAAGAGGAAGGAAGAAATGAAACGATGAGTTGGAGTTTCACGTGGGCAGCTGGTCCCTGGCCTACACTGATGTGAATGGAATAGGACATGCGAAAATGGCTGCAGTTGGCAGATGACAGTGAGACGAACCTACAAAAGTAAGTGCGGGCACAGAGGTGTGGCTGAATTTCACAGTGATCAAGGCAATGTTGCAAGAGAAATGCCCAAATGCAACAGCCAGCTGTATGGGGACTCTGGGGCTAAGGAAAACACCTCAATTATGCCCTGTAAAGCTGAAACAATTTCAGTAACTGTAAAACAAGTAGCAAAATTGAAGGTGAACACAGCAAAACCGGGAGCAGTGAGCAGAGTGATTAGGGCTGTTCATCTGAGTGCAAAAAGGGTTGTAAAAGAGCAGCTGAAAAGATCAAGGAACAGAAAAAAGGAGGATAAGATATATAATGACATGTCACATGTGGACTTCCCCTACCAGAGCTGAATGTTACCCTCCAAAACTATGCGGCTTATGTCTCAGGGAGGTGTCTGAAAACTTGCGGTTCCTTCAGCCCTGCTTTGCCGCCTTTGGTTTGTCCCAATGGACACAAGCATGGGGCAGGGTTTACCCAGTTGTGACAGTATGTTCAGGGGCACCCACAGATTTGTTCATTGCTGACCCCTCTTTAACACTTTGCATTGAACCTCTCCTGCAGAACAGAACTAAGGATATTAATATACAAGGAAGTATTTCTCATAAAGACACATGCTGTTAAGGCAAACGCAGACTATCCATGGTTTTCAAGGGCAGCAACTTAGTGACTTATCTCCTTACAAATTCTGGTCTCTAAACCATCTTATAATCACTCTGTTCTCTGCAGTCGTCATGTTAACCAGGGCTAGAGATGCTCTATTTCCCTACGCTTCATTTTTTATTGACTCTTTACATGAGTCAGTCTGGGACCGCAGTGCAAGCCTGCTGCCTCAGGGATCAGACATTCTGATTGAACCACAGGAAACATCATTTCTTTGACCCCAAGGCTCTTAAAGACCAAAAGAGGTCAGTTAGTCTACACTCTACTCAAACATCAGGAGAAATTACACCTAAAAATAGGCATTCATCTGAACCTGAAGAGCTTTGGCTATGGCTGCTCCAGAACAACTTGCACAGCCTCCTCCATTGCTTCCTGTCCTAGTTACATTAGTGTGGCACTGTTTGGCCTGCCACTCTCTAATGTCCTTTGATCTCTTCTTGCAGTAGAGAAAGGGCTGCACCCTGTGCAGTGATGATAGTTGATGATTGCTGTCCAACCATAGCACCTTTCTTTTGTCTCCATGATAAAACTCATCCCTATCTCCAGTTTCTCAAAAATTGTGACTTCTAACCCTGTTCCCCTTATTCCATCCAAGACAATCCACATAACAGACACCTCGAGCAAGGTGTAGAATGCCCACTTGCTCATATGGCATGAGCAGAGGTATGGCTGGGCAGAAGGCACATCAGCTTCTCACAGCACTCTGTGTGCCTATGGACTGCTCACACACTGCTGCCTCAGAGCAGGCACTAGTGGCTGAATTTAGTGACAGGCAATGTCAAATTCTAATAACTCCAAAACTTATTTCTAATGCTGAGCTTATTTGAAAATAACCAATAACTTCAAAATTATTCAGTAACACACACTCTAGATTTTAAAAGTGACAGTTGTATAGAAAGTAATAACAGCAGAAGATAGGTTATTGTATTTTGCACTCAGATTAAGTAAATAATTCCTTCATTGGCTGTGCAAAATTAGATGAATCCACACCAAATATAATATGCAGGTTTTGAGCCCTGGAGGCTCTATTTCTGATACAATTTTAAAATCTTGGTACAAAGTTAGAAGTCTGAAAATAGGGCCAGGCCTAGAAAAGACAAGGTATTTTCTAAACCCAAAGAAAAGAACTAGAGTTGTCTGTTCTACCAGAAAATGCATAATATTACTCATTTTCCTTTCAGAAATACTGATTTTCTCCAGAGTAACCAAACTTAGTGAGAATGTATATTTAATGTACAACTCTGTGTTAAATCTGGAAAGGGTTGGATGTTTTTTTCTTTTTCTTTTTCTTTTTTTTCCCCAATAGTAAAGAGTCCCGTTGTTTATGCTTTGATTTCATAGTATTCCAGATCCAATAAATATCTTATTCTCTTTTCCTCCCCTCTCAAAACATCTCTGAAAGGAAAGAAGAAACATGTAATTTTACTGTACCAGAACCTTAGATTTGTGGAATAATCTGCAGTTGACATATTTCATCACTAGAGGGAAATCCATCACAGCACTCCTCAGTAACACAGGTAGGCAGACTATTCTCCAGAGCTGCAAAATGAGCAACAGACTTGAGTTTGGATGCAAAAGTTGTAACAGCTAAGTAGCACGTAGAGGAAGAAGACCGTTCCTTTCCTTTCTGAGGATGCCCAGATAAATCATCTCTGGTGTCCCAATGTAGGTGTCTGCAAAGCAAAACCAGGACAGAAAGCTATCTCAGCAAGGGGAGTACAAGAAAGGAGGTAAAAAGGCCCATTTGTACCACAAATCCTCAAACCATAGGCATTTGGAAGAAACAACAGCATTTGGAGACATTTGTAAAAACCACTTTCTGTTGCTCTCCCCCTAGCTGGTCTCCATCGACTTGGCTGCCGACCATCAATCAAGACACTGAAGACACCTTGTTCTGTCCAGTTTTAAAAGATATGTCCCTGGGACCAAAAAGCCAATTTTCAAGTTAATGCTCATAAATGACATGAATACATCATGTATGTAGCTGTACCTCTCCACTGGAGTCATATCATTAGGGATGATCTCCAGACCTGGCTGTACTGCTAAGAGAAAGGAAGAAATAAAGGAGATTGGCTAACAAGGGAGACAACTCAACTTTCAATCCTGGCTTTTAGGGATTTCATGGTATATTTTATCTTTGACCTCATTTGGCAGAAAAGTCAAGGGAAGCTACCGAAGCCACTGAATAGAAGAGGGTTGCATGAGCCACTGTTGTTTTATTATTCTGCATGACTGTTTGTCCATTTTGAGTATAAACATTTCATTTTCATTTCAAATGAAAACCACCTCCAGAAACACTTATCTCATGCTGCTTTACAGCGGCCCTCTCTGCTGAAGTACTGAGGAAATCTTGTGTATAGCTGGTATTAATTATGTTCCTTTTAATTGAAAGCTCCTTTGTAATGAAACATAATTGCCAGAATTTTTATTTTCTGTTTCAGTATTATGCTCCTTACCATTCAAATATTACACCTAAATACCAGGCTACTTTAAATCCTGACCTTCAGGATCGGAAGGAAGGAAAAATGAAGGTACTTTAGCCAGTAGGCCAGAACCTGAGCTTCTTGGCAGAAAGATCCTCAACTCTGCCAACCATGCTTTCTGCATTTATTTTCATCTCCAGCAGTATAACTAGTAACTTCCTCACTGCTCCAGTGTCCCATGCACAGATGCTGAAAGATGGAGTAAATCTGTGAGTTAGCACAGAGTTATGCTCATTTATACCAGCAACAGCCTAAACTCTGGTCTGTATACATTTCCCAATTACATTGTTCCTTTAACCCATTACAAAGCCATTTTCATCCACTTGCACAACTTTTTCTCATCGTGGGTGAGCATTAGATTGCAACATTTCCAGGCTTCACAGATGAATGCCTGAATCTAAGAATCATCAAACCCTTGGAGATTGCACTGAAGAAATACCAGCTATAATTTCAGTTTTGAACTGCTGTCAAAATCCACTTAACTTTCAAAGCTTCTTAAGTCTGTTGCAGAAGCTGGAGTGGCTCTGTGATTGCATACTGAACAGCAGAAAAATCAAGATAGAGTAATACATCATGTCTCCTAGGAGGCTTTCTCTCCAAACAATATTTTCTTTTCTGATGACCATATATTTCAGAACATAAATTCTGACCACTGAGAAAGGATTTAGATAGAATTTAAATGTCTTTCCTAGACAACAGCAACTAGAAGAGAAAAGGAGAAGATGAAGTAAAACAGACAGAAAGAGGAAAAGAAATACTTGGAAATAGCAGGATGTTTATTGGCAAAGACTGATCAAGACAGGATGGTGGAGAGACCCACATCCTGCCTCTGCCCTGCTTTAGGCCACTACCTCTGCCCAGCTACTGCAGGTCACTTTTTGCTGTGCACACAGGCAAGGCTTTGAGCTTGTTTCCACAATTTTTTCCTCCAATAAATCAATATCTAATGGAAAATTAAACTAACTTGCAGGAGCCCCTTATTCAAATGGCTTGGCTGCTATATAACTAATTTTTTATGCTTCTGTGCTTTGGAAAACCAATATAACAGACTATCATTTTTTTACTCACTAATACAGCAGGAGTACTAAACAAATTTCATACTGATTTTGTCAGTGAAAAAGATGTCTTGGAGTTGAGGGGTTACCTTCTTTCAGTACTTGCTTGTGTACACATATATACACACACACACACAAAATCACAGAAAAACCTCTGTTGGAAAGATCCTCCTGATCCCATCTGGTCTGATCCCTGTTCAAAGCAGGACAACCTTGAAATCAGATTCAACTTCAGAATTAAATCAGACGCTCATGGTCATGTCTAGTCAAGCTCTTAATATTTCCAAGGATAGAAATGCTCTTTCCATAACAAACAAGTGGCGTAGGTCTAGAGCACATGCAGATCAAGGACTTTCAGAGTTTATCAACAAAAGGAAATAAGAAAACTAACTGAAGGGATTATATAAAAGTAAAAACTTTATCCTATTCATCAGAATCAGATCTAGACTTGAATTATAATCTACTGTTTGGATTATAATCTACTATTGTCTGATTAATTCCTTTTCTATTCCAAATGTTTTACTTTCACCTTCATATCATCAAAATGGTGCATTTTCTTCCCTGAGGATGAAAACATTAATTGTATTATATTATGTAATTAAAGGGCTAACATAAAAATTGCACCAAGATGTTTCCTTTTAGGTTCTCTCCCACACAGAGTTTGAAAAACTTCCTTTACTGATTAACAGACATCTGGCAATCAAACAGTCCAAAGTTTGACCTGAAGTACTGAACTCTTTTGCACTTGTTCAACAGACAACTTTTTCAAAGAGCTGTAAAAGTAACTGGTTTGTTGTTGTTGTGGCTTTAATAAATTGTCTGAGGGGAAAATGTTCCTTTTCAGCAGCTCAGATTTGACAGTAAGCAAAATAATAAAATCAATCGGCAAAAATCTATGTCCATTTCAAGATAAGTTTCAAAATGTTGCAGTATTTGAAGTGTTACACATTTATTTTGAAAGGCAGTGCAAAATGTTTTGCATCATAAAATATAATTGCTCAAAAATATCACTTGTTTCAGAAAACACTAACACAATGCTTTACATACTCAACACATTGAATAGCAACATGAAATTTCTCAGCTAGGTGGGACCCAAGTGAAACAAAGAATTGGAAACAAAAAAAAAAAGGGTTGCTGTTGCTTAAGCAAAAGTCAATTCAGATGATCTTGACCCTATGGAAGGGCTGCTTTTGCTGCTGATGTTTGCTGAGCTCACCTATCTCCATTCTTCTTCCATTACAATCATGGACACTGCAAACCTGCCACTTAAGAAAACAGCACTGCACTAGTACACTGAGTTACAGACCAGGCTATTCATCACACACAGCAGTAGGCAGATCCCTTGCAGAGGATGAAAATGCCCAAGGAGGTTGGTCTTGCCAACATGGAACCACAGAGCAGCAGGTATATGAGACATGATCATGCAAAGAAGACCACAAACCAGGACTTGCTTTAACAACCCCAGCCGAACCCCAACTTCCTTCTGCTCACCTGATCTTCTTGTCAATTAGGATTGCCATCAGCTCCTCTTGTACAGAGATATTGACACATCAATGTGTCAGTAAATTGAGAAGCATCATCTAAAATACATGTTTTAACAAAGCCCAGTTTTTCATTACTTGAGCAAGGGCAGCCCTTACTCAGAGACTAACCCAAGCCCTAGCCAATTTTTATGTTTGGACATCAGAAAGCTACCATGACTGACCACGGCACTTGACCTGTGCTCATTCTCCGGCCTCCAAAAGTTAAAACAAATGCAGCCATAATCTTACCCAGTCAACTATAGGACAGAAGATGTCAAAAAGTCCTATATGTAATTCCTTGGGGTTTTTTCTAAGCGAGACCTTATTTTTCTTCAGTGAACTCAAGCATGCATCTTTTGCACACACAAACAAAATCAACCTGTGCTGATTTATGAATCAGCTCCCTATTTGTCCTTTTTCTGATCTAATGTTCCGTCATTGCAACCCAAAATGCACAAGTGTTAACCTGAGCCCTGGATAAAGGGCCTTCTGAAGGTCAAGACTTAAAAAAACATTGCTCTTTGGACATGCTAGTGTACACATACAACCTGGCGTAGCAGTCTTTTATAGCAATCAGCTCCCCTGGAGAAAGGCGTAATACTTCCAGAAGAGACTCTTAGGACAGGAATCTTCCAAGAATTACCATGAACTCATGGTTCAGACAGCCATTTTTAAAAAGGCAGCTGACATGTATTGGAAGCTTGATCGAGTATTGGAGGCTTGATCGACTGATCAAGCCTCATTTCAGAAAACCCGGAATCTAAAACATACAATCTACAGCTCATGCCAGAGCTCTAGCATAGAAGCTACTTCTACCAGCGTTATCTTCCTCTTCTTAAAAATTGTATAATTCCCATACAAGCTCTATAGTGAGTCCTATTTATTCTAACTAGTTCCAAAACATAAATGACCTCCAAAATATCCCTCATTTAGAAATGAGGTTGATCAAGGAACAAGACTTGGGATAAAGTTAGGAGTACTTTACTGAAAATACAGCCAAGTGCTTTGCAATTCAGTTATGAAATAAATGCATTCACCTAACAGGATTAAAAATCAGCATCTGCAAAACTTGGCCATCAAATCCATTAAGGATCTCAAACCTGGATCTTTGCAAAGCTTATGTGGCAAGGGGAGTCTAGAGCATGACCCAGGTCAATTTATAGGCTGAGAGGGAGTGAAAAAGGCCTCCTCTGTTATGGCCCAGTCAAAATTCACTTTGCTACCTCCAACCAAGCCTAGCATTTTAACAACAACCTTCAGCCCTCTTTGATGCTACTGTGAAGTGGTGCCTCCCAGCACCAGCCCAAGTTCTCAGGGCTTCCTCCATGGACTTTCAGTTGAGGTAAAGGCCTAGCTTCAGGCAAGATCCCCACCACCACAAGTGGTCCCGGCCAAGGAGAATGCTGTGGATGGAAACCCAAGCTTGCTTTCTCACATCTCTACCAGCACTCCACAGAGCATGGGCTCACATAAAGAAAAAGGATGAATTTCAAGATGCACACTTGCCTGTGGTTTTGAGATAAGGGATCAAAACCTGCCATGCCCAAAGCAGGAAGGTAACCAATCTGGTAAGGGTTAGCCAGGCTGAAGTAAAGGCTTTTCTCCTTGTTCAACACAATGTATCAGCATTTCAGGCCACACAGGATGGGGTCAGGTTTGGGGTAAGTTCTCATGATGCTATCTGTCCCCATGTTCAAAAAATATTAAGTCCAAGGTACTCTGGAGGCTACATCCCTGTGAAGACAACATAGTTGTTGCAGGTTACAGGGCATGTGCGCTGTGTTGACTTTGCAGAGCCTCAGTACTGAGGTTTCTCAGGGCTACTTTGCTTAGACCTGCCTAGAACTTTGTTTGGTTTTGTTTTTATCTATGACAGCATTTGTAAGGACCAGGTAACTACACCCAACTTGCTTTGCTTGTCTTCACATGGTACAGCTATAGCTTGTATACACAGAGTAGTAATACGTAGCTTCTGTGTGTCTGACAAAATATTAATGACCTTAACATGACTATGCAATGCAGAGAAAAATAGGCTGGGTATGACTGCTGGGCTTGCAGAGCAGGCCCAAAATTTGAGGTGAGGAACACAGGCTAGTGCTGAGGGCTGCAGGACTATAGCCAGCACAGCAGTGATCAGATAATAAAACACAGGCTTGGAAGCCAAATACCCATTTTAGTAGTAACAAAAATAATAAAGAACAAATATTTAACATAGGTAAAATGTGCCATGTATAGGGAATTCAGGTGCAACAGAAATGCAGCTCTACGAAAAAAGAACAAAGCACAAAACAACAAAGAGTTGTTAGGAAACATGGAAATGACACTCAGAGGATCCCACAGTAGGAGGAAAAAGCAGCCAGCACCAAACTCATTCCAGCAAAATACTTGGGATGCTGACATCTCACCATACTCTACTCAGACAAGCAGTGGAAGGACACCAAAGGAAAAGGGTAGATCCTACACATCGCATGCTTAACAGTTTTAACCGTATTGTTTATTGAGATTTTTTTCAATAAATAGCTCCTTCCTTTTCCTTCTTCCTTTTCTATTCAAAAAGAAAAGAAAATCTATCTGCATATCATTGCTTTGATTTTTTTTAGACTGACAATACATCATTTATGCTAATGGTAGGTTCTCAGCTTTCCCTGCTCTCCTCATATAACAAGATTCTATTTGTGACTGAGCTTGCTTAAGCATGGAAGTATTTGAACAAAGAACAGTGAGGATAGCTGGACTCTGGCTAAGGCTGGAGTCAGTTTGGTTTAAGGTTAGGGTCAAAGCTCAAGTTTGCAGGACTCTTTCACAAGATGTAAAGCCTGGCCTCCAGAAGGTCCATCAGGTGTGGCTGAGCTATGCGGGTCATCTACTGCGATCCTTTTGCAAGGGGAAAAGGGGAGACACTGTGTGTGAAGAGGCCGGATCAGTTCACTATTCCTTGTAACGTCCCATATTTCCCTATTGCTCCTGCCCTCTAGTGTCTCCCTGGACCAGGGCTTAGGCCTTCGGGCACAAAGAACTTTGGACACTTTTCTATGCAGTTTGGATAGAAGACAACAGCAAAGCTCTTGGGCAACAAAAACAGTTAATTAAGCAGTCAGCCTCTGAGCAGAACTGTCATGCAAAAGAGTCGATTTAACTCTTTTGCCTTGAACTCTTGTCCCAGGACTGTTGCCTCCACAATACCCAGAAGGACAGGCGAAGTTCAAGCAAACAAAAGATTATTGGACCATTAGGGCAACTGGGAGGAGGAGAAGCAATAAAGTAAACTGCTTGGATAACCATGTAAAGATTGATTGGGTTACTATTGCAGAGCAGTGATAGAGACTGAACGGTTTAATAAAACAAAAAAAAGACAACCCCAAAGCCATTCCCATTTATATTCCTATCAAAATTATTCTACACATCAGCAGTAAGAAAATATACTCTATGGGTAAGTGAAAAAACTTTCTTATCATCTCTCCCTTTTAAAAGAAATCAAAACCCAAGTGTTTCGAAAATCTTGTTTATTTAAAACCTTACTTTCCTGTTCACCCACTTCATATTTACAAATAGCTTGCTATGAACAAGAGATATTTTGACATACTATCACTCTGAAAAACAAACGTGAAGAATTTTTTTTTCTCACCTTCTTTCAGCTTTAGATGTTCCCATAAATGGTAGTTTTTACAGGAAACAAACAAACAAAGAACCCCCCCATTATTCTCATTCAACTCATCAGCTTTGTTACGACTTTCCACCCACATCCTGGCTTTTTTTTTTTTTTTTACTATTTTTTAAAATTTTTCCATTTAAGAAGATCCCTACAATCCTTGCTTCATAAAGCCACACCTCTAAGGTCACAGATTTCATTTCACAAACATACACTCAGTTGACACAGCTAATCCTGGCACACCTTAAAGAGAAGCTCCTGTAGCAACTCTCATAAGTCATAGAAAATGCATGTGTCAAGAGTGCCTGTGAACATAGTCTTGCAAATATGCATAGTTTCACAGAAAATAAAAGAACACAATAAGCAGCCCTGAAACTTCACCTTTACAGCCCAAGTCCTCTACAGCTAGACATTTAAAAAAATTCAGCTGTATTTAATTAAACACTTGGCCTCAGAGTGAGTCAGCAATTGCCTTAAGCCAACATGCTGGCGGCATTGGCAAGTATTCACTAAAAACAAATACAAAATTCCCTTTTATGAAGTGGGTGTGCAGTATTTTTTTATCCACTGAATCCTGAATAGTGAAAACAAAAAGGAAAAGTTCTGCCAAGTTCTAGAGAATCATGCAAAAACTCCCCTAGGAGCAGACCAAGCTCCTGTGTGACCCAGAGCCCTTTTATCTCAGGAAGGCCAGAGAGTGTTAGTTTGAACTCATGTTCCAGAAGCACTTGGCTCCATAATGTTTTAAAAGCACTGAGTTTTCACCTGCCTCTGCCTAGCTTTGATTTAAAGGTATAGTGCATACCAGGGCCTGAGTACAGGACCCATACAAATCCCCTGCAGCTCCTGGTGATGGCATGCTGTGCATGCAGTGGGATGAGTTGGCGTTGAAGGAAGAGAATGCAGCAGCAGAGCTGAAAAAAGCCAGGTAACTCTGCACAGCACACATTTCTGTAATTTTATCTTGACAAGGAAAAAAAAATAGATCACTTCAGCCTCTTAGAAAACCTTTTGTTCCTTGCTGGTCGTGTTGTCTGACAGCAAAGCAGTGCTGTTTGGGCTGAGACCTTGGCCTGGTTGAATGCTGTGTTTTTGTGCAGCTACAAAATGCAGACACAAATTTCACCCCCCAGAAGTCTTTGAGGGCTTGAGAGAAAAGGTAGAAGAGAGCTATTCATTCTTAGGTAAAAATGTGAACAGAAATGTTCAAGGAGAAAAGTTTTTTCCAGAGCCTCTTTCTCATAGATGAGCAGATAAGCTTGATAGTTGATTTCTCTATACCAGCTTTCCTGTTTCAATTGTTATCTATATATCTGCAGCTACATAAGCAATTAGGAAGATATGTAGGTCCTTTCAGCAGCACAGAGTAACTAGAGTCCAACTAGTTCTTGTCATTAAGCAAACATAAAGACCTTGATGCCTTAGCTCAGTAAATCTGTTTACTTTGCCAAAGCATTTCTAATACGGACTGCCTCCTTCATGGCTGTGCCGTTGAGGTGCAGCTACCTCTGCAACAGGAAGGGTGCAA